CCACCCTGGCACTGCCCCAGCACCTGCTGACGTCTGCTTGTAAACGGGGGAAGAACATTCAATAAAACAGCAGCAAAACATCTGAGCTGGTTTCCTTTGAGCAGGCATGGTGTCCCTCTGATGGCTTCACTGTCTAAACAGCGGCGCGAGAGGAAAAGCTTGCTTGTAACTGGTGCTGCTTGGCTAAAACCTGAGTGGCACTTTTAAGAGAGAGCAACAGGCTGGTATTGGGGCAATGCTGAGTGCTCACTTGAAGACCATGATTAATCTGACGATTTAGCCCCGCTGGATGCGGGTGTGGGCTGAAGGTGGGGGGCAGGGTGGCCTAAAGGATAAGACATCAGCCTCCAGAGCCTGGATTTGTGGGTCTGAGTCCCATCCATGTCCCGCTCCTACAGGCTGGAGCACTAGCACCATCTTCCTGCTGGTGTGGAGAGAAAGCCCCCAAAAGAACTGCCTGGAGCCTTTCCCCACTGCTCCCATTGGCCAAATTGCAGTCAATGGGAGCATTAGGAAACAGTGCTTCTGCATCCCTCTCATGCCCGTACTCCCATCCCCTTCACACACACACGTCTGCCAAGCCCCTCACCCTCTCTCCTGGCCAGATCTGCCCCCACCTCCAGCCTGCCTCTGCACTCATTAAGGCCAACAGCCACCATGGGTCCCAGGGCAAGGTGGAGGGGGATGGCTCCACATCCCCAGAAGAGGCAAATCTGAGGACAGTCAGTTGTTAGCAGTGTTGTTTCCCCTCAGCTACTGGGCTGGAGCTGCCAGAAGCTGATCATGGCTGCCTGGCTGCTCCCAGGGCAGGTGGCTTGCTCTGGGGCTGCACCATAGCCCGGCTTCAGCTCTGATATGCAGCTAGGGTGGGCCACATCATGGCTGCCCAGCTGCTTCTGACATGGCCACAGCTCCAGCCCTGTGGAAGGTGGTAGTGGCTATGGCAGGCAGCTTGTTCAGTGTGTCCCAATGGGGCAGCATCCTGTCCCTGATCCTGGGGCAGGCCCTGTGGTCTGGCTCCCATTTGGCCACTGGAAGGATTGGCGGTGCCCGCCCCCCCACTCCCTGCCCCACTCTGCTGCAGTGATCCAGGCGTATCCTTCGTCCAGCTACTTCTGCCAGAGTGCGGCAGCCCAGCTCTGACCAAGTAAGGTAACCAGCTCTCCCCACCCCCCCATTCTCTACTTCCCACCCTGCCCTGCCTCCTGCACCTTTCACACACCCAGCCCCCTGTCCTGAGCCCCTCATATACCCTAACCCTGACTCCTGTACCCCCACATCCCAACCCCCTGCCATAACACTCCTATACCCCCCACATGCCAACCCTTCAGTTCACCAGCTGAGCTGAGATAGCATGAGGGAGTCTGTTGTAACTTGCTATAAGAATGGGCCAGCAGCAAATTAGTATCTCCTGAGGAAAGGGAAAACAGGAAAGGGAATTATGCCTCAGGAGCAGCTGAGGCAGAAAGCCACCTGTAGTGGTGTATTGCAGAAGAACTTTGTACATGTTAGTTTAGGTGGTGGTGAGGCCTGCATTCCCCCCCCCCCCCCCCCCCCTTCTCC